GGATCTTCGCGAAACTGTACGTTTTCTGGTTTCTTTTGGGATTTTGATCGACTTGCTTGAGATCCTGAAAATTATGATTTTTGAATAAAGCTTTGAAATTTTTAGTAATCTCGATCGTGGATTAGGTTAGGGTTTTAAACGAAGAAAAGGTTTAAACTTTGTTTTGTCAGTTTACAGATTTGTGGCTTATTGAAATGAAAAAGATTTAAACTTTGGTTGGCTTAAGATTTTGAGTCTTATTGTATAGGTGCAAGAGCTTTATGAGCATTCTGCAGAGTACGAAGGGAAGCATGAGCCAAAGAAGCTAGAGGAGCTAGGGAGTGTGCTAACGAGTTTAGATCCAGGAGACTCCATTGTTATCGCCAAAGCTTTCTCTCACATGCTCAACTTAGCCAATCTAGCTGAGGAAGTGCAGATTGCTTACCGTCGTAGGATCAAGAAGCTGAAGAAAGGCGATTTCGTCGATGAGAGCTCTGCTACTACTGAATCTGATCTCGAAGAAACTTTCAAGAAACTTGTTGGAGACCTGAACAAGTCCCCTGAAGAGATCTTTGATGCTATCAAGAACCAGACTGTGGATCTGGTTTTGACTGCTCATCCTACTCAGTCTGTGAGAAGATCGTTGCTTCAGAAACATGGGAGGTTAGTTTTTCAAGACGTAACCACCGAGTTAGCTTTTGTATCCATGTTTTTGGTGTCAAAAAGTTATGTTCTTTTCAGGATAAGAGACTGTCTGGCTCAACTATATGCTAAGGATATCACTCCTGATGACAAGCAAGAGCTCGACGAGGCTTTACAAAGAGAGGTATAAGCTTCTTCAATATTGACTTGACTTGAAATCAATCCTCAGATGTGTAATGTATAAATTTGGGAAAATCTTTTAGATTCAAGCTGCATTCCGAACAGATGAGATCAAAAGAACACCACCGACACCTCAAGATGAGATGAGAGCTGGGATGAGTTATTTCCATGAAACTATCTGGAAAGGTGTTCCTAAGTTCCTGCGCCGTGTAGACACGGCTCTGAAAAACATAGGGATCGAAGAACGTGTTCCATATAATGCTCCATTGATTCAGTTCTCTTCTTGGATGGGTGGTGATCGTGATGGTACATTTCTATAACTCCCTCCTCTCTCTCTCTCTCTCTCTCTCTCTCTTAGCTCTCAAATTCGGTCTCTCTCTCACATTGTCTTTACTCAATAATATATGAATGTGTAGGTAATCCAAGGGTGACACCTGAAGTCACTAGAGATGTGTGTTTGTTAGCTAGAATGATGGCTGCTACTATGTACTTTAACCAAATCGAAGATCTTATGTTTGAGGTTTGATTTCGGTTTTTTCTTTCCGGTTTAGTCTTCCTCATTTTTCTATGCCTTGAATCATCTTTCCTGCTTCTTCTGTTAGTTGTCTATGTGGCGTTGCAATGACGAGCTGCGTGTGCGAGCTGATGAACTTCATGTAAACAGAAGGAAAGACGCTGCAAAACATTACATAGGTAACGAAACTGAACCGTCTTTGAGAATTTGTTTATTTTGTCTAAGCTCTCTGTTCGGAATCGGTTTAGTTTGAAACCGTTAATTTCATTGTCTTGCAGAGTTCTGGAAGTCAATTCCTCCAACGGAGCCATACCGTGTGATTCTTGGTGATGTAAGGGACAAGCTTTATCACACACGTGAACGCGCTCGTCAATTGCTAAGCAATGGAACCTCTGATGTCCCTGAAGAAGCTACTTTCACCAACTTGGAAGAGGTACTTTTTCGCAATTTTGAATCCTTTAGTTCTTGGAACCGCTTGAGCTTGGTGCTAAACCGATGTTTCGTGTTTCATTTCCGTAGTTCTTGGAACCGCTTGAGCTTTGTTACCGATCGCTATGTTCATGTGGTGACCGTCCAATAGCTGACGGAAGCCTTCTTGATTTCTTGAGGCAAGTCTCAACCTTTGGACTCTCTCTCGTGAGGCTTGACATTAGGCAAGAATCTGACCGCCACACCGATGTGTTGGATGCTATCACCAAGCATTTAGATATCGGATCCTACAGAGAATGGTCTGAAGAGCGCCGCCAAGAATGGCTTTTATCTGAGCTAAGTGGCAAACGTCCCCTTTTCGGTCCCGACCTTCCTAAAACCGAAGAGATCGCTGATGTTCTCGACACGTTTCATGTCATAGCCGAGCTACCAGGAGACAGCTTTGGTGCTTACATCATCTCCATGGCGACCGCACCTTCTGATGTATTAGCGGTCGAGCTTTTACAGCGAGAGTGCCACGTGAAACGTCCTCTGAGAGTTGTTCCGCTCTTCGAGAAGCTAGCGGATCTAGAAGCAGCTCCTGCGGCGGTTGCTAGGCTCTTTTCGGTTGACTGGTACAAGAACCGGATCAACGGCAAGCAAGAGGTTATGATCGGTTACTCTGATTCAGGGAAAGACGCTGGACGTTTGTCCGCTGCTTGGCAGTTGTACAAGGCTCAAGAAGAGCTTGTGAAGGTTGCTAAAGAGTACGGTGTGAAGCTGACGATGTTCCACGGTCGTGGTGGCACCGTCGGAAGAGGAGGCGGACCGACCCATCTTGCTATATTGTCTCAGCCTCCGGATACTATTAACGGCTCTCTCCGTGTCACGGTTCAAGGTGAAGTCATTGAGCAATCATTCGGAGAGGAACATCTCTGCTTCAGAACGCTTCAGCGTTTCACCGCTGCGACACTCGAGCACGGGATGCGTCCTCCGGTTTCGCCTAAACCGGAATGGCGCGCGCTGCTCGATGAAATGGCGGTCGTTGCGACCGAAGAGTATCGGTCTGTTGTGTTCCAAGAACCTCGCTTTGTCGAGTACTTCCGCCTCGTAAGTATTTTGCCATTCACTCAGAGTCTTGAATTCACTTTCCCCACATGTAATCTTTAAAAACTCAAACGGAAACTTTTAAAAACCTTTGCGCGCAGGCTACACCGGAGCTGGAGTATGGGCGTATGAACATTGGAAGCAGACCTTCGAAGAGGAAACCAAGCGGCGGCATCGAATCTCTCCGTGCGATTCCGTGGATCTTTGCTTGGACACAGACGAGATTCCATCTCCCTGTGTGGCTTGGATTCGGAGGAGCGATCAGACACGTGGTCGAGAAAGACGTCAAGAACCTCCACATGCTTCAGGATATGTACAAACACTGGCCTTTCTTTAGAGTCACCATTGATCTAATCGAAATGGTGTTCGCTAAAGGAGATCCCGGCATCGCTGCTTTGTACGACAAGCTCCTTGTTTCGGAAGAACTATGGCCTTTTGGTGAGAAACTCAGAGCCAATTTCGAGGAAACCAAGAAACTCGTCCTCCAGGTTAGAACAAGAAACAGAGAGCCCCCTTGGTTTCTTTCTTATTGTAGTTTTTTAGATTTTGTTGGTTTTTGCAGACCGCTGGACACAAGGATCTTCTTGAAGGAGATCCTTACTTGAAACAGAGACTGAGGCTTCGTGATTCTTACATCACGACACTCAATGTCTGTCAAGCTTACACACTGAAGAGGATCCGTGATCCGAGTTACAATGTGACGCTGAGACCTCACATCTCAAAGGAGATTGCGGAATCGAGCAAATCAGCAAAAGAACTCGTTGAGCTTAACCCGACGAGCGAATACGCGCCTGGACTCGAAGATACACTCATCTTGACCATGAAGGGAATCGCTGCAGGTCTACAAAACACCGGTTGAGTTTTTTTTTTAAAAAAAGAGAGATGACACAAACTTTGAATCTCTCTCTCTCTAGTCTCCTTTTTTGTTTTTATCTTTACTCTACTGATTCGAAAATAATAAATTATGCGGCTGGAATTCTGATTTGTTTATGAATCCACCGTCAAAATGTTGTTCTTTGTGTACGAATGCTTCGAGATCATGAACACATACATGCTCTGTTTATTTCAAGTGCAACAAAACAGAGCAAGAGAATCTTTTCTTGTTCATTTGTCTTTTACTTAACCTTCCTCTTTTGTATAATGGTTACGGTTTGATTTCGGTTTGGTTTCCTAAAAATCATAAAATCATATGAATTTATTTTGGTTTGAGTTTGCCTCATACGCTTTGCATTGGTTTGGTCTGGTTCATTTTTTTCGATTACGGTTCTGTCCCACCCTAGTAATAAGCATAGACACATGTCGGCTGTGTATGTATGTGGTCCAGAAAACGGCAGACATGTTTGCGAAAAGAGGCCGTTGAAGAAGGAAAAATGGTAGGGAGAAAACGACACGGTGTTTGAGTCTCGTATACAGACACGCCTTGCATTTTTTTCAATTCGGGTAACGCCCCAACGGCTCTATTTATTGCGGGGAGAATTTATAGTGTACATGTACGGTGTACCAGTTTTTCTCAAATGTACTTTATGCGTAATAAGTACGTTTTTTAATTTAACTCTACAAAGGTCAAAAAGTTCACACTACAAAAAGTCGGTGTTTGTTAATCACGCGCCTCCACTGATTTTCAAGAAAATGAGAAATTTTATTTTATGATTAGGCTTTTTGTGATATTTTATTTTACTTAACTAAAAGGTTGAATACGACCAAAGAAATATTATCCACAAAAGCAGAAATGAATTTTTTTGTATTTTAAAAAGGATAAATGTGTGTCAAGTAACCAGGAATATAGGGCACCGACTATAGCCGGCGCAGTATAGCACCAGCGAACGACCATAAAGTTTCAACCTTCCAACTTTTTTTATACATTCTTTTTCTTTTAGCAATAATGTTCTTAATTATTATTGTTTGGGCGTTATGTTAATAATTACCTTCGTTTTTACATAAAAATTATTAGTTTAAAATTGATTAAAAAAACAAAGAAAAAACACAACTTTAAGTGGGCATATAAGATTCCATATTCCTTTCAATCCCTTGAAAGAAGGGTCAATTAAACACATAAGAACAAAGCATTAACAACAGTCGCTTGCATTACAAACCAAATCAATCTCTAATTAAAACCAACCTTGAAATCAATCACATTTCTCCCTTTTCTTTGGTTAAAAGTATATAACAGTCTAAAAGTAAATATTTAAGCATATACTTAAGTGGAAAATGAATAAAATTATATATTTTATTGATGAAAATGATGTGAAAAAGATGAGAATTGAAATGACAAGATGGTTCACTTTCTTCTTGGTTTCACTAAGCTCTAAAAAGTAACAAAGAAAGAAGAAGAAAAAGAACTGAAAATGAAGAATCCAAATCTTCCTCTTTTGCCCTTTTTTAGTAAGCCCCCCTTCTTCACTCACATCCAGACTTCTCTTATGTACACAGAGTAATCTCCAACCAGTAACATCTCTTAATACCTAAACAAGTGAAGCTACAAGAAGAAGAAAGGAGCCAATGCAGTCTCAATCTGCAGAGAAAAATGTATGGAAGAAGAGAAGAAGAAGACAGACAGAGACAGGTCACAGGGCAACGAAGAGGGGAATGAATGAAGAAATCATAACGAGCTGAAACTCTACACTAATGGGTTCTCCCTGGTGATGAGAAGTTAAGTGGGATTATTAAGAAGTTTCTCAAAGGGTAATGAGGAGTGTTGTAGAAAAGTGAATATAAAAGAGAGTGAGGTTTTTGAGTTTTAACCGCTATAGTGCCTCACTGAGTACTCCAATACTTCTTTGCTTGGACAGACAATCTCCTTTACTCGAGTTCCGTTCTTGTATATCTTCACTGTCGGTACAACCCTCACGTTCTCTGTATTACCTATCGAAGGACACTTATCGATATCCACCTAACGAAATAAAAAGGGAGATTTTTTAAGAGTCAGTTGCTTCCTATGGAGTTATGAAATGTTTTTGAGTCATGCATGTAACTTTACCTTGAGGAAGTGTATAGATGGGTAACGAGTACATAGCGAGTCCACAAACGGAGATATCTGCTTGCATTGATGATCAGAAGCTGTCGAGAAATGTATAACCGAAACTCCTGGGTTCGAATGAAGATAATAACCAATCAAAAACAAGATACCACTGTAAAAAGCAGACAGTAGCAGTTGCCATGTTTTCTTACCTGGTAGATTCATGGCAGCTTTAAACTGCTCACGACTGTAAACTTCCTCAACTTCACCACCAAATTCCATATTCGAAACTTCTTCTCCACGAGATTTCTTCAATGCAACTTGAGCATGAAACAAAGATTCAGCAACTTCCTTGTCATGAGGTAGTTCCCTTCTCAAGGCTTCATAATCACTCACTGCAGCTGCCCATCTCTCCATCTACAGTTGAACAGAGAAATCTCAATCACCAGCTTAAGACAACAACTTACAAGGCAGACTTATCGATAGAGTGGGTTTCTTTTTCTTTTACGTACCTTGTTATTTGAGGCGGCTCTCCGAAGAAGTGGCTTTGTGTAATTTGGTTGGAAACGCAGCGCCTGGTTACAATCTTCAATAGACCGTTCCCACATCCCAAGTTTAAACCAACAAGCTGCCCGGTTACAGTATAGAATAGCGTTGCAAGGATCGAGCCTAAGGCCTTCTGCATAAGCTGAGCTTGCCTCCGTGTATCTCTCTGATTTATAGAGATCGTTACCACGAACACGAGCCCTAGCAACCAACGTAACAGTATTGTGTAACATAGCAACTTCGTTGCTTCGTGGATCGATTTTGCTAGCTTTCTCAGCAGCCACAACTGCATTTTCAAACCTGCAAGAATTCATCATCTGCTCTTTACCCCCACATTCTTTTGTTGCAATCAATATCTCTATTATTCAACATTTGGCAATTTGAAATATGTTTAATTTAATCTCACCTTCCTAAAGCCATGTCGACTTGAGCTCTGACAAAATATGAATAGGCTTCACAGGCCACACCAGAAAACCGAGTCTGCGAACAAGATACAGGGAACGGCTCTACTTTGGGAACTTCTAATAGCTTTGATTGGGCATCATCAAGCCGGTGAAGTTTCAAGAATGCTTCTACTTTACACATAACTAGCTGTAAAATTTAAGACATAACAGTTAAAAAACGAACATTTGAGAGATTCTGATTTGTATAAATCCCACATCGTTAGATTTCTTACCTGAGGAGAGAAATCTGCTCCAGAAACAATGGCTGCATCAGCTTCCATTAAAACAGTTTTCCAATCACCGAGCCTTCGCGCATCTGCGCATTTGCTCATATGTTTCTCCACTGCTTCAAGCTTCTGCAACTCCACAGGATCTAAAGATGCTTTCCCAAGAAAACAAAGATGCTTCCTTGCACTATTAACCTGACCTAATCTGTAACCAAAAGTTAAAGATTTCACAAAACATATCAATAATAAATAAATAAAAGCAAACATCTTTATCTTCTTCTCTGTATCAAGTATCTTAGCAATTTTTTTTTACCTAATAAGCAATGAGGCCAAACGGTGATGAGCTCTTGCATAGTTTGGATCCGATCTCACAGCTTCTTCACACTCCTTCACGGCTTCACCGATTCGACCCAACCCCGTCAATGCGGCGGCTCGATTGCTCCGGTAAGCCGCGTTTGTCGGTGATAAAGCTATTGCCCTGTCGTACAACCTCAACGCCTCACTGAACAAACCTTTCCTGTACATTTCGTTTCCTACTCTCTTCACTTCCTCTGCATCCGAACCTAAAATCGCTTTCTTCCACAAGGTTTCTGCTGCGACGGGGCTGCTTCTACTGGACCCACCGACAGTTACCGGCGAATTCGATATTTGTCTCGGAGATCCTCCTCCTCCTCCGGTGGAGGTGGGTTTCGCCGGAGATATACTGCTTCCTCCACCTCGCATTATGCTTCCGTGTCCGTACGTTCCCGTTCCAGATCCGAGAACGTCGCTTCTGGAGCGGCTTTGGGTCATTCCTGTGATTTGGATCTTGCCGGAGGGACAAATGTTCCCGGTAGGAAGTACATTCGCCGGCGTCGTGGCTGGAGAAGTAGCAGAGCTTTGACTAGAGGAGGAAATGAGTGGTTGTGAATTTGAAGTAACCGAGTCCGATCTAGCTTGACTCGTTCTTAGATTCCCACTGCTGGACCCAGATTGACTTCCACGAACCGAATCGGATCTTCCGATAACCGGAGCATGTCTAACCCGACCCGTCACAGATCCGGAAGAGCTTGAGCTGCTGCTGCTCGTGGTTGTTGTGGTGGTGGTGAGTCCACGTGGCTGAGAACGAAGCGGAGAAACCGGCGACCCAAGATCCAGCTCACGGAAATCGGGTTTATTGACTTCGGTGCTCAATGAATCACGGAGATGATCGGCGAGACTGTCAGATTCAGGATTCGGTTTACCTGACTGCGACATTTTCTTTATTTTCCGGCGAACAGAACAAAACGAAATCAATGAAATCGAAGCAAACCCCTAATGGAAGTCCTCGGGATTAGCACTTAGGGTTTTCACTCCGGCGATAAATTAAGAGCAATGGCCGTCAGTGGAGACGGCGAAGAGTGGAGATGGAGAAGAAGACGAATGGAGGATTAGATACTCTGAACAAAGGCATCGAAGGGAAAGAGAGAGAGAGAGAGAGATGGGGATCTCGTGATTTAAAAGGGTGAAGCAAAGAATGAATGTGAGTGCCTAGAGAGAGAAAGTGTCTCCCGAGAGAAGAGAGAAGAGAGAAGAGAGAAGGTTCACAGAAGAAGAGGAGTGAAGATGGAGAACCAGAGCGAATATTAACAATTAAATACACAAAAAGATACTTAGATCATTAAAAAAAAAAGTTATTTAACTAATTTCGTTTGACAAAAAGAAAAAGGTTTAACTATTCTACAACAAAAAGAAATAACAGAAAACAAAGTTAATAATAAATTAAAAATTTGACTGGACTGAATTAACGAACTTTTAAAGTTATGGGCGAAATTCTGCAACATATTTTTTTGATAAAGTATTCTACAACATGTCGCAAAAAAAAGTATTCTACAACATAATTCCAAATGAATAAGCAGAGATTGCAGGAAAATAAAATTATTCTACAGCAAAGAACAAAAAGCAGAAGCAAAGGGAATTAGTAGCACATTTGAAAATTAATAGGATTGAATTAATTTTTTTTTAAGAACTTTTAAAGGTATGGGTAAAATTCTGCAACATGGCTACAACTGAATAACCAGAAATAGCAGAGAAAATTGTCTTGGCTTTTAAAATAATAATTAATAATAATCGAAATAATTTTTTGAGTAAAAATTTATTTCTTTCCTGCGAACGTTTTTATTTTTGTAAGTTTATAAAATCAGTAGGAAATTTTGGTAATACTAATAATACATTAAATGGTTTTTTGCTATAATATAGTAAATATTGTGCAAAAATTAACACTACTTGTTCACCTGCTGCTTCACGAGACATAATTATATACTGTATTTGCCTTTATATTTCCATTTTTTGCTTTTAATTAGAAAAACCAAAATTATGAAAAGAATTGTTTGTAAATAATTAAACTTATTTTTTTTTCTTACTTCGCTTTCGGTACTGTTCGATTTTTCTTTGTACTTTGGATCTTACGACATCCAAAATCCCACTCGCGACTTATGGGAAGTGACATCTACGCTCCCAGACAATCTACAACATTTTGTGTCCTAAAAGGATATATAAAAAAAAAAAAAATAGATGGTTTACAAATGAAAACTAAATTAGGTGCCAATTGAAAAAAGAAATACAGTATGGATCAAATACATTTTACCATAATATACATTCCTCTTATAAGTACGTTTTTACTTATTTTATTTTTTTTTACAAGAAAACACTTTTATCGATTAGATGAATAAGTTCAATGTATTAGCAACTAAATGAAAATAAAGAGCTTTCAATACAAATCTTACGAATAAAGAAACCCACTGTAAGATTACTTGCACCAATTTTATACACTAACACAACATTAAAAGTAGATTCTTAATGTTTTAGAACCAATCAACTTAACCAACTCATTATGATACATTAGTTGAAAAAGATTCATTATAAAGTTAAAAGATTCTAGTTTGAGTTTTTCTACTGTGATTTCAACGAGTATTAATCAGTGTAAACGTTTCCAATTACTACAATACACATTTTTTTAGTTTCATAGGAATTAGTTTTTATCACGGTTCTAATTTATTTGGTTATCATAAATAAAAAAAAATTGAATCAACTTCAAAACAAAAATCGACCAGTGAAAAATACATAGAACCAGTATTTTTAACGAGTGAGGGAACATACCATTTTAATAAACTTGTTTTCCGTAAATGTATAAAAATTTAACAATAGAAAAATAAAGGTAACAATAATGTAAATAAGAAAATGTGATAAATAAAGAAGCTAGATACTAGATTTGGGTATGATAGCGAAATCAATAATCACATCAACGTAATAATGTACCTCGTAGTTTGCATACAACTCTATTGGCTTCTTTCGCACGAGATTTCTTTCTTCTTCTGGTTTCCTCGTTCCTTTTTTATTCTATCTTTACAGACACTTTCGTATACCCAATTTTACGCTTACATATCTACATATACACCTCATACATATTACATATTTTTAAAAAAGTTCTACTCATCAAAAAAAAATTGAAAATACTATACCTGATTTTTCTTACATAACATATATATATACAATGATAAAATCCAGAACCTAGAAATAGCACTACGTGAGAAATTTTTAACATGGTTTATTTCTGTCCATTATAGTTTTATGTCAAATTAAAAGATGGATTATTAAAGTGAATATATATATATATATATCTCCATCAACAAAAGCAAAACGTTTGAGTCAATTATACGTATGCGAAAGTATAGCTTAATTGATAATGGAGCGGTTATATAACTCGGGGAATGGTATAGTGGGTTTGGTATACCGACACGACACCTGCATAATATTGTACGTTATTTATTTTTTCTTAAAACATTGTTTTATCAAACATAGAATATTATGTAATCATCAACACCCTAAAATTTCACTTCTTTTTTCTGTCAACCACACACTGAACTTCAAGTTAGAACAATGTTTAATCTATCAAACTATGCTTTAATCATATAATCCCCAGAATTATGTATTTTTTTACTTACTTAACATTGTTTTATCAAGCGTAGAATGAACAGAAATCTTGCGTTGCACTTCATATGCTTCGAACCCACATGTTTCTATATGCGTATATTTTTTAAATATGCCATTATGTAGAAATAGATGGTGATTTCTTTTGGAGCAAGTTAGGTGTTTTAAAAGAACATGAAAATAAAAAAAATTTGAGTGCTTCCATTCATAAAAGCTAGTAGTAATACTTAATTGAAAAGCTTCACCTTTTTTAAATAGATATTCTTCGATCTCGTTGACACTTGGGACAATCTCCGAGTCAAAAAATTTCAACAGTGATAAACATAAATGTTGATGTCATATTTTCAACAAAAAGAGGTTTTTGCGTAACTTATAAAACTAAAATTTCTTAGTCATGAATATTCATTTCGCCATTAAGCTGTTTGCGATTGGTTATGGCTCGCAGATAATTTGCCATCAATCTGTCGTCAAAGATTAATGGTCTGAGGTGGATTTATGAAGTGGCGACTTTATAGGGATGGGAAAAAAAAACATATTTATATGTTTGTATAGTTTTTAATGGGTTGCATTCAGAGAAGTGTTCCATGAATCTTGAATCCAGCTTAGAAATTTTTCTTTATATGTAAGTGTCCTATAAATCTCGAATTGTTCATTGTCTGTAACTATTGTGGCTATAAATGGTGACAACGGTAAGGTATGGTTTATATTTATATATATATATATATTTTTTAAAAAGCTATCTCAAACATTTGGAGTATTAAAAACAAAACTTACAAACATTTAATAATCATCTTACTTTGCACCTTTTTTATTTTGATTTTCATTCAACACTTCTTCCGTTTGTTTGAGATGTTTCATGTTTGATTTATACGATGAAATCCACTTTTTGTTTCTTAATATAAAATGTTTTGAGTCTTTCACATATTTTTTAAAAAATCAACAAAAGACTTTTTTAGGAGGGTGTATTAAAACAAAAAATTTAGAAAGTTTTAAAATATTTGAGTTTTAATAAAATTTTAGATAATTTTATATGGATTAGAAAGTTGATATGATTTGATATTAAAATTGTATAAAATCTCACTTAAAACAATGAGATTTAGTTTTTTTATATTTTTAACTAACAAAATCCACCAAATTATTTAAAAGTACAACAATATTTTCTAAAAACTACTATTTATAATATTTCTAATAATAATAGATTTGATTTAGTTTTTACAAATTCTTGATTGAATAACATGAAAGATTGAGTGATTTTAATTAGTATTATATAAATTTTATGTTTAATAACATAGATTTTGGTAAGATATTTAGAAATCATTAGTTGAATTATATGAAATTTTTAAATAACTACAGAGTCTTCCAAAATTTCAGTTTTAATATACCTCTTTAAATTTTAATTTTATTAATTATTACTTCAGTTTTTATTTAAATAACATATGAAATAAAGGTAAATTAAGTAAAATTCAACACTAAATATATATGGAAAATTAAAAATATCTAATAATATGAAACAATTTTTTTTCTAAAACATCTAAAAAGTATTTATTAACTAGTATTTAGTACGACAATTTATTTATTTATTTTTAAATATGCTAAAGAAATATTTTGAGCCAAAGTATATCATCTTTCTTTGTTGGGACTAACTTTTTTCAAAAGTTTCCATTTGAGAAAAAATCGTCATCCCTCCTCACAAACAAGAGTCGAAATTCATCATCAAACAATTAATTAGTTTAAATAGTTTCAATTTGACCGACCATTGATAACAGTTTCAACCAACTAAATATTTTTTCATGTTAAGAATTTAAAAGTTAACGTCAAGTAGAAAAAACAATCGGAAGGAAATTGACTAAATTAATGTTTTCACACCACTTGAAATAAAAACTATGGTAAAAGCAAATACTACTACCTACTATTATTTGGTCAAAGATGACGCATGGGATTCAAAAGTGACGTCAGAGACTCAGAGTAAGCATTATCATCACTGGTCTCTCAATAGATGGTAGATGCGATTACGCTGCACACTGCCACAGACCCAGAGAATCCAATTCAACCCTTAACACGTAATACGTTTTATTTAATTATTAGTCATTTTCCATTTTCTCAACAAATTCTATTTCATTAACTTATATAACTCGAAAAACCTAAACTGAAATCAATAACGAAAAATGAAAAAAAATATCGATAACTAAATCAGGTATTGCTACATATATGTATATGAATCATTTACACTTATCCACACACAAAAAAAAAACAAAAATGGAAAACGCAAGTTCCAAAGGAGTGAAAGTGAGACATTGTCCAAAAGAGGAAGCTACAGAGATGCGTAAACGAAGAAATCCAGAAAGCCCAAATACTTTCATTCACTCTTATTATAAGAATCTTATATTTTCACGAATACTTATTAAAAAAAAAATACTATAAAGAATTATAAAATTTGGGAAAAAAATAAAAAATTCGTTCAGGAATCAGAGACAAATCATAATGAATGCTCTCTAGATTCAGCACATGATAGTACACAGAGGTCGAGCCACCCACGTGGAACATAATGACAAAATCCATCCCAATTTAGCTTTCTTTTACTTTTACCTTGTAATTCCTCACTTTACAAGAAAACATATCGACAAACTTTAGTACTTTTTT